CTGATATATACCGCGATCAGAAACTAATTTCTCTGGAGATTAAAAAGCTGAATCATAACATTACCCCTAACATACCCACGCACGGCGAAATGTGCAACTAGAACGCTTTTGATGCTAATCTCCCGTGTCATTAACCAGAGGCCTCGATTGACTGTAGACCTGCACATTCTAGATATGTCTAGTCAAGGCCACAACATCCTGTGAAGGCATGAATTGTCAAATTTTTGAGTTGTTGCACATCAGCAGAGCGGAAAAAACCACAATTTTCGTGCTCAAACGAAACTATCTCGGGCTAAATTCTGGCACTTTATAGTGTTTGTTTTCCGCTAAATGTTCCCACGAAACCTCAGTTGGCTCTCATGAGTTTTACATATGTATCTTTTTCAGCTGTCTCATGTGTCGAACCCCAGAAGAGGTACGTGCAGAGGCCGGCGGTTGGAGCGGGGCGCACGGTGACAGCCGATCAGTTCTTGTGAACAACATTCAGCGCTATGTGCCTGCCCAGACTATGCTTCCGCCGACACGACTGGAGACCTTGATAACAGAGGCCGTTCGTGCCCAACTAAATGCATGCACCTTCCACAATCAGCATATCTCCTGGCCTGACGCCCTGAACTCAATCTCCCTCCTCCAACCTCACTCTTGTAGTATGTAAGTGTCTGGGCAGTGTTCAGGTACTACTGCTGTTCGGTATATTCATCTATAACCAAACTTTTTGATTTCACTAACATATTTTGAGGCGCAGACTGAAATTACCTTGGTCCGTGCTGAGCGCGTCTCCTTTTCAAGACTGACCGTGTCAAGTCTCTTATTTCCCACCTCCTATTTCTTTTCCTTCTGATATAGGTTTATTTTGGAATGTTCTACATATTCAGATTTTCCTTTGCCACACGAAAACGTCTTTCTCACTGAGGAGCCCTCGATCTTGAATGCTGTGTAGCATGGCATTGTTTTCTGTGGAGTGTAGAATCATTCTGAAAGACTAAGAGACTTTCCCAAAGCCGGCGACCATAACAAAAAAAGGACTCCTGAAAGCGAAACGCTAGAGTTTCGCGGTCTAATTCCGCCTCACGTCAGCTGTCTCGTGGTTTTGCTAACTTTCTGTTTTTAATACGCTGCCGATCAACTTCTCTGAAGCTTTCAATATTGTTTTTTTACGAACTTAGACATTGGATCATCATTTTAACAGCTATGCTTATTTCCAGTAGCCTATTTAGATCTGAGACTGCCTGCTTAGTGACGCTGCCTTTATTATTCGTTTGCTTATCCGACTGGTAGTTTTCTAGACAATACTCCTTAGGGCAAGGCATACTCAACGACTCAACGACTCATGAACGAACTTTGCACATTTATCAATTTGTCGGCAGTCTGGCTCCAACTGAACCGTCCAGACTGATGCCGCTTGAGCCGGTATGACCGTCGCGCTCTCAGCTATCATAGTGCTGCTTCTCACCACCACTTGATGATTAGGCCGCACGTGTATATAATGATCATTGCCTTAAACGGCAACTGACAGACGTTATGGCTAATGAGCCTGAGGATACTTAATGGAAGGGTAATATTAGCACGCAATCTACGGAAAGAGCAGTAAACTAGTTTGCGAATTTGAGGGCAATTCTCATCGTGCCGACGGTGCGAGATATGGCTATGTTATCTGTGTTGTAGTTCCGGTTATGTGCATTATAGACGATGTTGCTTAGTCAGAAAACCAAATAGCCTAATTTAAGACGAGCGCCAAATGATGAACTGGCGCACGATGGATTATAACAGGCAGAAACCCGACTGCGCCACCATGAGAACTGGATAGTATACCCACAGTTAGTTTCAGCATAGCAGTTGTTGGCCGTATTAGAAGCTGAAGATTAACCGTAGCTGCGACCTCGGTAATCAACACTTCGCTGCCTACCCGCGAATGCACCCCACGGGTGACACACAGGAGAGTCAACAACCAGTTTGGGTGAGATACCGGTTTGGGACGGGGTTACAAATGCCATTACTTTGAAGGCATGCTCGATCGATTTGGTTCACGAATGTCCTTTAAGGTAGTCTGAGTTCCACGAAAAACGATTTCTTGTTTAGCGCCACATTATTAGGGCGGCGCTAAAACTGTTATAACGGAAGCCCAGGCCGAGATATCACCTCGCCAAATTGTTGTAACGTAGGCCCAGGCCAAATTATTCGCCGTCTACCTACGCCTCATGTGAGCCCCCAAAGAGAGAACACAACAGGAAGTGTGCAGAAGCGGAAGTCTTTGAGTGTTCTATGTACAACAAATTTAGGGAAACAAACGTATGTCAACGATGTCCCTTTAGCCAATAAGATTCTCCTGAGGTAGTGGCCAGTCGCATTGGGTGTTGGCTCAGTGAGTGAATGTAGCTAGAAATTCAAATTATCGATTGATTGTCTAGCTCGAAGTGTTAGCTCGCGCATAGGCCGATCGATAACCTACTGTGGACGCGGCTATGGTTTGCAAACTACTGCTTGCCTTTCTGTCCAATGTGATCATCGGGGACATCAGCATTGTCGTCAGCTGATTCGATTTGGCGGCATTTCTGTCCGATGTGATCA